ACTTTCCTGTACACGAATGAGATCAAGCATTTAATGGGACACTCACATGTAGTTAGCTACCATGATCAGCGTTCCCTCCTAAGTACCCTACAATGATAGTGTGAAATGCTACCTTTCATTTGGGGGCTATGCCCAGCAGTGTTCGGGAGCTACTCCCAGCACAGTGCTCTCAGTGCTCAGAGGTTGCTTCCAAACAAGAGGGAACCATGTGGTTCTAGGGATCCAACCCAAGGACCCTGCAAGCAAACCAGGGACTCCAACCCATTAAGTTATTTCCCGGGCCTGGGAATGCTATCTTAATACCTGCAATAATTTATTGCAGTTCACCTGCACGCACATATCTCCCCTGGAACCTCAACAATCTCAGAGATGGAACCTGGGTTCACTCCTCTCTGAATCCCCAGGGTCTAACATTTTGCCTAGAACTGCTAAATGGATCACAAATCAATGCTGCCTGGCACAACCCCTGTGGAAAACAGTATGAAGAGTTCTCAGTAAACTTAAAATTGAACTGCCAAATGACCCAGCAATTCTACTTTGGGGCATCTATCCCCAGGACATAATAACACTCTCTCAAAGGACATGTGAATTCCATTATTCATCACTGCACTCAATACAATAGCTAAGACATGGAATCAACCTGAATGTTCAATAACAGATGAATGGATTATGAAGATGTGGTATATGTACACAGTGGAATACTACACAGCTGTAAGGGACAATAAAATCATGCAATTTGCTACAACTGGGCTAAAACTGGAAGATATCATGTTGAGTGATATAGCCAGAATAAAGACAAACACAGGATGATCTTCCTTATCTGTCGTATACAGAATACTGGGTGAGGGAATGTACTGTAGTAAAGGGGGGAATGCCTAGCTCATTCTTCACCCATGTTCAGAGAGGATACGGAAGGAGAGAAATCGGGGTGGGGAGGGAGAGAATGTACAATAGGTGAACAGGAATCAAGGTTTCAGTTATATTGATGATATGGGAAAGTGGTATAACCATACATCCAAAACACAGACTCAACAGCACTGAAAACATGAGATCTAAGTTGTAACTACAGGAACTCCACAACATGCCTGTCAAGTTGACAGGTGGAAATAGGGCAGGGGTTGGGGATGGAGAGGGAATGCGGGAAACACTGGTAGAGGGAAGTTGACACTGGTGGTGGGATTGGTGTTGAAATATTATGTGCCTAAATCTCAACTATCCATAACTTTGTAAGTCAGTTCAATTTAAAAAAAGAAAACAGTTGTTAATAGCAACTGGGATTCGCCTCACATTGTCACAGGCTGACTCCTCATGACCCTCCAATTTCACTTACCAGGACACTCACTAAAAACCAACAGCTAGTGGGGCTGGAGCTATAGCACAATGGGTAGGGCGTTTGCCTTGTAAGTGGCTGATCCGGGTTCAATTCCCAGGATCCCATATGGTCCCCCAAGCACTGCCAGGAGTAATTCCTGAGTGCAGAGCCAGGAGTAACCCCTCTGTGAATCAACGGGTGTGACCCAAAAAGAAAAAAAAAAAAAAACCAGCTTGCTCTATTCATACTGGTATACTCAACACTCTTAAACACGCCACAGGCACTTTACCTACACATTTCCTAGATCTCTCATTTCGGGAAATCTATTCCATATATTGGAAGAAGAGATCTCCAAGCCAGCTCAGATCGGGACTGGGCCTCCTTCACCCAAACCCATCTTCCAGTATGTAGGCATTATACCCACGAACTGCCCCCAGCACAGTGTAATCCCATCAACGGCCAAGACCCAGAGACTATAAAACCCAGCTCCCAGAGGAGAACAGCGCAGAGTCTCCTGCCTCCACACCTGGCTGTCCTCACCAGGAAGGAGAGCAGGTTGAGTTTCCCTCCCCACCCCGAGCAGAGCCCCAGCAGCTGAAGACCTCCAGTTCCAGTCATAGCCACGCTTAAGACCACTCTCCACATGTTCGGACGAGCCTCATGCATGAAGGAACCAGCAGAGGAACCCAGGTGTGCGGGACCGGGGCTTAGATCTCCAAGCCTGCTTGGATCGGGACTGGGCCTCCTCCACCCAGATCCCCCATCTTTCAGTATGTAGGCGTTACACCACCAACTGCCCCCAGCGTGGTGTAATCTCATCAAGGGCCAAGACCTAGAAACTATAAAACCCAGCTCCCGGAAACATGCGGCTGCAACATCTTATTATCTAGTTCTTACTCTGGAGAACCTGGCAGGCTACCGAAAGTATCCTGCCTGCATGGATAAACTCCCCGTGGTGTATTCAGTACGTTAAAAAACCAGTAACAATGATGGGTCTCATTCTCCTGACCCTGAAAGAGCCGCGAATGTGGTGGCACTTTCTAAAATCTCAGGGCTAGGATGAAGGAGACGTTACTGGTGCCTGCTTAAGGAAATCGATGAACAACAGGATGACAGTGATACAGTGATTCCATATACCCAGTCCTCTATGAACATTAGTTAATTCTTATGCAAAATACTCGAGTTCAAATTACAGCATTTGAGGAAAATAATGAATAGAGGCAAGAAAGTTTCCAAAAGTATCATAAATAGCCATAAGATGGAACAGAAATTGAGTCCAGCGTCCATGGTTATTCTCTGCAGAACACCTTCCCCACTCTTAAATTGAAGCTGACCCATCTAACTTATCCTTGACTTAGAAGATGAGGGTCTGCTCCACATTTAAAGGACTTTCTGCACCATTCAGTTCGGCATTCTTATTTGTCTCTTGTTTATCTTTTTCAATAGGTGGTACGTGCATATAGAGCTCTGGGGAGAGAGATAATGCAAGGCACATAATGGAATAAGTACAGCTGTGGGCAACCACAGTTTTTCACTGTGGCTGTCTCATCCCAGCTGTTTAATTTACTTGCATCTTCCAAATTTATAAAGTTAAAATGATTAAACAAGAGGAGCCTACATACAATACCCAGTACATAATAAAATTTTGCTATACCTACATCATGAAGTTGTCAGCGTCCATTGCACGATCTTTCAAAATTAATGACCCACCTACCTTCTGTGCTCTGTTGTATCACCAAAATAACTCTCACACCGGTATACTTATTAGTGTGATGGAATTATTAATTTCCTTACCTCGCTAAATTGAGCTCCCTACAGGGAAAGTCAGAGTTTTATTTAGCTCTACATTATCAAGCATGGTACCTGGTATATGTAGACACTCAGCTAACGTTTTTGTTTTGCTATTGGTCTCCCAAGCAGTGCTCAGAGTGCCCCACGACCACTGCCAGGGATATCTGGTCTAGTATTCTAGAAGTCAGCAGTGCTAGGGGACAACATGCTACAGAAAGAAGACCTTGAGCCTCTGCAAATCAGGCATGCACTCCAACCCTTTGACTTATCTCTCTGGCTCTCAGGAATGTTTGTTAAATAACTGTACATATAATAATGTTTATAGAATTCTAAAAAGAAAAATCATTTCCTGCTAGGGTTGTACCAAACTGATCATGAGAAGTGAATTTTTGGTGGTCTGCGGAAATCTCAGTAGGTCAAACAAAAAGAGTGAAAAACATTCTTCAGAAATAGCAGGGGCAGGAGAGACAGAGTGGGTAGGATGTTTGCCTTGTACATGGCCCACCCGGGTTCAATCCCCAGAATCCCATATGGTCCCCTGTGCACCGCCAGAACTAATTTCTGAGTGCAGAGCCAGGAATAACCCCTGAGCATCACTGGGTATGACTCAAAAATGCAAAAAAAAAAAAAAACCCAAAAACAAACAAAAAAAAAACAGAAAAGAAGAAACAGCAACAACAACAACAAAAAAAGAAAACAGGGTCATAAGAGATCCTATTTATCTGGAGTAAAGGATCGTGGCAGAGCAATTTCGGAAGAGGGCCTGTTCAAACATAGCTGGAAAGGTAAGCAGGGGCCAGATCACAGTGGAGGAATATGAATGCAACCTGGCATACACCTAGCTGAAGGCGGGTATGAGTGGAGAAACTGAAAATAGGCCATCAGAAGGCCTCACGGGTCCCAGGAAGCTTGCAAGTGCCCAACTGAACAAGATGGAAAGAATGGCTAAATGCTCACGCATTAATCATGATTGGGGGCGCATGAAGATTGAGCAAAGATAGTTCCCCAGTTACACACCCCCTCGCCCGCCCCCCCCTCCCCCCGCGCGGCATACAGTCCTCCAGCACCGTCCAGGGTCACTCCTGTGCACAGAGCCAGGAACCAGCTCTGAGCACCACAGGGTGTGGCCCAAAATCTCGGAGAAAAACATATAAATCTGTACACTGGGCTCCTTGTGTGGGTTCAGAGTCTATAAAAACAAAAAATCCCCGCCCCTCCTTTTCCGGCTCTCCGGGGTTTCACTGACAAACCCAACCCCTTTTCTTTTCTGTTCTTCAGAACAGAATGAGAATGTGACTTTCTCTCACTGATGTGTTTTGCAAACCTGCCTCCCTCGGACTCTGCACACCTAAGAAAGTTTGGAAAGTCGTTGGGCGCGGGGGCTTCCAGCGGGGCTTCCGCCCCACGACAAGGCAAGCGCGCTGGGCTTAGGAACGACCCTCCCGGGCTCCGCGGGGGGCTGCGGCCGGGTTCCGGGCTCAGGTTAAGCCGCCTTCGCTCTCGGCTCGGGGCCACTCCCAGCCACCGGGCACCGAGTCCAACTTGCAGCGGCGCGTCCCGGGTACGCGCCGCCGGCGGGGGATGCTCGGATCTTCCTTCGGGGAGACGGGGACCACCCGGGCACCGTTTTAAAAAAATAAAACTTGATGTTCACGGGACGCTGCCGAGGGCCCGGCCTGAGACTGCTGGGCCCCCCGGCCCCCATCACCACCGGGTCCACGAGCCTCTCCGCCCCGGGACCACACATCCAGCTGTCACGCTCACGGCAGCCCCCCGCGCGTGGCCAGGGCGCCCCTCGCACGGGCCTGACAGGAGAGCCGAGTGAGAGGAGCCGCCGGGCGGGTCGGGCGCGGGCGAGCGGGGGAGCGAGGGAGCCGGCGGCTGGGGCAACCTTTACCTGAAGCTGCTGCCACACTACGGGCCGGGTCGGCCCCGGGACACGTTCCTGAGGAGCGGGCCCGGCTTCCCCGCGCCTCCCGGCCCCCAACCCCGAGCTCCGCGCTCTCGGGATCCTCGGGGGCTGGCGTTCCTCCCCGCCGGCTCAGCTACCGCTTTCCGGGCTCGCCCTCATGCCCCCGCCGCTAGCACCGCCGGCCGGCCAAGCAGCAGCCCTGTGACCCCGAGCGGCGCCACGACCCGGAACCGCTCCCCGCGCACCGGAAGTCCCCGGCCGGGAAGGAGCCGTTGGCTGGGGACGGAGTGCGCAAGCCCCAGAGCCGGAGCGGGGAGGCCAGTCCTCCCGAGGGGGCGTGGCTGGGCGGGGCCGCGCGTGCGCGTCACGCCGCTCCCCGCCCCGCCCCGCCCCTGTCCCTGCCCCTGCCCCAGGCTCTGCATCTTCCACCCGCTGGATTTACCTGGGACAGATATTCTCGTGTATGTTCTCCTGCGACTTTTTACTTTCTTCTACTAACACGGAAAAAATAAAAAAGCCTCTCTTCATACAGAAATCAGTAATGAGAGAGCTTAGCCTTTGAGTCAGAAAGACGCAAGTTCAATGCCAAGTTCAACGATTACAATGCCAAGGCTGACTCCGACAGGGCATTTCCTTCTTTGACCCTCGGTTTTTTCTTTCGTACCGAAGTTGCAAGTTTAGGCCTGGCATGTGCTAATCAACGAGATGATGCTGTTAGGACACTCAGCACAGAGTGCCCGAGACATCATAAACACTCAAGAAACGTATTAACTTGTAATCCCCAGCATGGATACGATGGTGATTCACCTCCCAAACTCCAGGCTTGGGACCCGGGATGTGAGAGGCTCTGGGTTCATCCCTGCACCACAGACCTGCTGAGTCCCAGCCGCAAGGCCGATTCAGGAGATATTAAACGACTGGCACGGAGCTGGACCCCGGAGCTCACCAGCTCTCTCTGTCGGAGGGAGTCACGGCAAGACACACACTTGGAAAGCAGAAGGACTGGAGCGGTGCAGTGAGCTGTTAGCTATCCCGTCAGAAAAGTACGAATCTGTCCTGAAATGCAGCTTATCACGAGAGAAGGGCGGAAGTCAAGGCTGAAACAGTCCTAGGAGCAACGGCGCAATATCGAAGTGGGCGATATGACAGGGAGATAGCTCCAGGGCTGGAGCGCATGTGGGGGCGAGAGATGGAACCCCAGCACCTCACCCAGAAGGGCACCCCTGTCGCCGCAGCATCAAATACAAACACACATACACACACACACACACACACAACCACCACACCAGCAGAGGGTGTGACCCAACAGTAAAGCCCCATTCCTACAAGTGTGAGGCCCTGAATTCAGTCCCCCATACACACATACATGCTTAGATGAATCTCAGCATGAATCTCAGAGAACAGTTCTCCTAGCCTGAGTGGGAAGGAGTCTGTGTGATCATACTCCTCAACACCCAAATGCCTCCTGCACCCACACTACTGGTGAGCCAGCCCTATATGTGCTCTATTGGAGACCTTCTGCCAGGGGTGTAAATAATAATGAAAACTTCATTTCCCGGGCACATATACTTCCCCAAACCATGTGCTTCCTTGCCCATGTGTTGCTGCAGAGTGCCTGTGGTACCCGAGCACGTGTGTTACCCACACCTCCTTATCAAGATGTGACCTAAATCCCTCCTCTCCGAAATAGAGAAAAATAAATATAATTAAGTAATCTGCAAATCATGGGCTAAGGAACTAGTTTAGGGGTTACAATGTAGATGATCTAGTCCAATCCCTTATCCCTCATGGAGCTCTGGGCACCACTGGGCGCAACCACCAAGCACAGATCCAGGAAAAGGCCCTGAGCATTGCCAGGTGTAATCCCCAAGCCCAAAAGGAAATTATGAAAACAGTAAGCAAAGCATGAAATAGGAACAAGAGGCTCACCTTGCACACAGCTGACTCCAGTTTCAATCCCACAACTGCAGATGTTCTAGCACCGCCAGGAGTGATCCCTGAGCATTGCTGGACATGGCCTAAAACAAAACAAAAAAGAAAACTCAAGGCACAGGCTGGGGAGCTAGTTCCAAGGGTTTAAGAGCCCCAAGTTCATCCCCAGCACCACAGACCACCCAAGTTCATCTCCAACACCATGCTGCCAGATCAGCACTGCATGGCCAGGTCCACACTGCCAGGCTGAGTAGCACCAGCAATGTCCCCAGAGATCCCCAGCCCAAGCATGACTGGGCAGCCCACTGTTTCAAAATGAAGGAAAAAGAGCCAGCTAAATAGTAGAGGGGTGAAGGCCCTTGACTTGCATGAGGCCAAACCCTGTCCGATCCTAATACTGCTATTGTGCCCCAACACCACCAGGAATAATCCCTGGACATGGCACCAAGAGTAATCCCTGAGAATCATCAGATATGCACCCTCCCCCCCCACACACACAATAATAATAAAATTATAATGAAGGGGAAATGAATGAGAATTTTAAAAAACAGAAAGCAAAGTGTATAATAAACCTTTCTCCTGACCCAGCTGCACTGGGATAGGATCACGACAACTGACACCCTGGGAAAATTCTCTGTGTCACATAATGAGGGTGCAGGGCCAGGGGCATGTCAGTAGACATGAAAGTAAGGAAACCAAAGCCTCAGTATATCTGTGGCAATCAGGTTTCACAGACTCCAGCTCCAGCACAGCAAGAAGGCCTGCTGGGACCCAAAGGTCCTCTTTCTTCTAGTCCCAAGAGGGGACATGGACAGTGATTGAAAGCCCTAGTCAGCTCATACTATAGTCCTTAAAAAGTTACTTCCTGAGTCCAAAGAAATAACTGAGTGTCTTAGAACTCTGACTTTGCAAGCATAAGGTCATAAGGTCAAACCTGGTGACCCCATATGTACCAAAAGTGTGGTCTGAAGCAAACATATAGGAAAGGGATGTGGCTCAGCAGTAGAGCATCTACCTTGGGTTGGAGCTCTGGTACCACAAAAAAGTGGAGGAGGAGTTCACATCCAACAAAACTCAGAGGCTACTCTGAGCTTGGTGCTCTGGAGTTGCTCCTAGTGGTGCTCCGGGGTCCATGCAGTGCCTGGGCCTGAACCTCCAAGCATGTACTCCAGCCTATGAAGCTGTAGTTCTAGTCCCCCAACATGAATTATAGATAAACACACATATATAAACAATTCCTTTCTGTCCTTCTTTCCTTCCTTCCTCTCTCCCTTCCTCTTTCCTTTCCATCCTTGCTTCCTTCCTATCCTTCCTTCCTTCCTGCCCTTCTTCCTCTCCTTCCTTCCTGCCCTTCTTTCTTCCTCTTCTTCCTTCCTTCCTGCCCTTCTTTCTTCCTCTTCTTCCTTCCTTCCTTCCCTTCCTTCTTCCTCTCCTTTCTTTCCTTCCTTCCTTCCTTCCTTCCTTCCTTCCTTCCTTCCTTCCTTCCTTCCTCTCTTGGCCTCAGGTTTCAAATATCCAGGCTATATCCACATATCCACACATATTTCACATATCCAGGAGAGAACTCAGTGAGAGCATGCGCAAAGAGAGCCTGACATACAGACTATGCTCCATCTGGAAGAGCAAGATGGACAGAATCACATCATTTAAGAGACTGTGGGTTTGGGGGTGGGCTGTTCTTCTGAAAGTCTGTTGTTTGTTTGAGGGGGTTCCCCAATGGTGCTAGAGACCAGCAGGACTACACCGACTTTGTGCCAGGGAGACAGGATTGAACCTGGGCTCCAGCCCTTTGCGCTATTTCCGGGGTGATGTTGAGTCAGGTGGCAGCCAATAGGGTTAGAAGCCTAATGTGCCTGGAGATGTTGGTCACGGCATCTGGGCTTCTCTCTGTGGCCTCTCTAGTGGCTACCTTGAGTTTCTACACAGCATAGAGGCAGGATTCTAAAATGATAAGCCTCCAGGGCTTTTTAAAAACTATTACTGTATATGTATAATATATGTACTATGCACACATAATGAAGTACATATGCCATGTGTAAATACATTCTATTCATTCTTGGAGACCTAATTCACATATTATGTCCTCCAAGAAGTATTCCTTGATCATGTCTCCCCGAGAGGCCCCTTGAAGAGCTTCTTTCACTGCGTTCAAATCAATCGTATTTTTTGTTGCTCTTTCTGTATACAGCTGGCTCCTCACAGGCCAGAAAAAAGGGATGTCTTTTATTTCTTTTTATATACTAAAAGCTTAAACACCATCTAGATCTTGGTAAAATGCATGTTAGATGAAAAGGTGCACAAAACAGGCATGTGAGATGTAGCGATTGGAAATTGGATTCTGTAAAAGCAGAATTTGCATGTAGAAAATAGCACTTTACGGATCCTTCGACAACAACCTGTGAGCAAACGCAAATGAGAGAAATGCTCTTTCCAGAGCATTACTTCTGCCAGAGGTGGAAAGATGGAGCAACCTTCTAGTTTTTCTGCAGTGTCTGTTCTTAATATTTTATAGGTGTGAAGATGTTTCCCTGCTGTTTTCCCTATTTTGGTTTCCTCTGCTTTTGAAATAAATATGTTTTGTTCCTCCTAGACATCTATACTCCTAAGCATAGATATCTATACTCCTATGATACAGAGCAATTCTAGGACAACAGTAAAGCATCCCCCAGAAATGGACAATTTCAGAGCAATAGAATTTATTGGAGGATGTGGTAAGGGACAGGGGGGTCGGAGGTGGGAATCCTACATCAAACCAGAGAACTCATACATGTGAAACATATGCTCTATCATTGAGCCACATTCCTTGTTCCACATTTTTAAAAACTGAAATAACATATCAGGGACCACAGAGTTTCCTCAAAGAAGGTGAGCATATTCTTTGTATGCAAAAACCCCAATTTCCATCCTAAGCACAACATCCTCCCCCAGAAAAATAAATGAATTTCAAAGCTGGACCATGACTCAGTAATAAGGTACTTCCATGCATAAGATGCATAAGTAAGATTCTGTCTTGGATCCCTGGTACACCACACACACACACACACACACACACACACACGTAAATCTCAATGTGGATAAAGTCTTAGGTAAATGTACTGCTTATAATAAGATAAATTTGGGTGGTAGAAGAAAGGCACAAAATTAACCAACCAGAAAATCTTAAACACAATACATTGAAAATATGATAAAAGTACAAGTCCATCTGGGATCTCAGCAGAGATTTACCGAGTTTCTGTTTTATTGTGTTCTTATGCTGAATATTATTTTTGGTGAGTAGCTGTTTTTAGATACTTGGGGTGAAAACAAAACATCT